TTTTGTTGTTTCCCCTGTGTTCTTCTTTGAAGTAACAGCCTTAGAGCTTCGTCGACGAAGTTGGGTTTTCCTACACTCCACCAAGATTTTTCATACAAGGGCACCGCCTGCCAGTTATCTTGTATAATAACACTCTTGGCTTGCATGCCGAATGTTCTTTTAGAGGAGTCCCTTAGAAAAGCAGTTGACCTCTAGACAAACTGCACCATAAGGCCACATCTCTTCAACAAAAGTTGTGTTTTTTTGTTAGTTGAAATTTTGGTACAAATGATCGTCAGGGAGAGTTTATCAGAATCAATTTCTTTTATCTTTATATATTGCTTTCTTGACAACTACCTAATCAAATTGAATAACACTTTTTTTTTTTAGTTCTACAAATTTGCTAAGTTAAAATAAAAAAATTTTCACACGATTTGATTAGGTAGTTGTCAAGAAATCTTCAAGGTTGAAAAAAGAAAATTTAACTAATTTTTTTAAAATATTCCACTTTTTTAAAACTTTAAGTGGAAATTTCTTGATAACTACCTAACCAAATTTATGAATTAATTTTTATTCTAATTATACATAACAATAGAATTAAAATAAAAAAAAATTCACTGAATTTAATTAGGAGGTTATTGAGAAACCTTTGCTAAAAATTAAAAAAAATCATAAATTTTTAGAATGATCCTCAATTAGTACTGTAATTTTATTGGACAATTTCGTCAATTAGTCACGTGCCCGTACTTTTTTACTGGGGTAGTTATTTGCAGTTATATAGCAGTTAAGTTTGTGCAGCTTAGCACTAACCCGCTCGCATAAGCATGTGATATTGATACACGTCACTCTGGTTATACTGACACTCTTCAGCAATGAAAATTTTGTCGATATATCCAGATGTCAGTATAATAAACATCTCTTTCTATACCAACATTATAATAGCATTATATAAATATGTCAGTTTAGAAGGCAATTTATTAAATTTAATTGCAATTATTAACTTTTTTTACCATTTTTCTAACTTAACGGCAAATTAGAATGTTCTTACAAAAAGAAAGATACTTTATAGTATATAGTAAGTTTTAGAGAATCGACTTCTGAATCTGTTCTTGCACTGCTAAGTCTAACAGTCCTACAAAAGACTAAAAACAGACTATAACTAAATAAAATTACATAACAGTGCATTTGTAGATTAAAGATTATAACTGTCATGTAAAAAGTTAACTAGATATGACCACTAAATGCTATCTTTCAATTATTGTTATATTTAAATTGAATAAAACTTAGAATGTTTGATTGTAATTGAATACTATAAAATAAAAGCAAACGCTATATTTAAAAATACCTTAGGTTGAAAAAAAAATTTGTACATAATGCAAAATAAAAAAAACTAAACAAAATCGAGTTTTGTTTAAAAAAAAAAAAAATTGCAAATATTTTTGCAAAAAAAAAAATATCAACAATTATTTATTCTCTAATAAAAAATGAGTCTAATGTTGCTTGTTTAGAATTTTTTTTAACCCGATAGACTAGCTCTTTTCATATATAGCAAAAACTTTAATATCGATTTCAATACTTGGTTCAGATTGTTCAATATAGCCTAATACTGAATCCAATCCTGTAATAGCTTGAATTGCCATAACAGGTTTAATTTGCTGTTCTGATTCTTCTTCATACTCATTTTCTTGTATTTCCGCTATAATGTCTTCAATTGTAGGCATTTCACCTATTGCATAATTATTATCAATCTCAATAAATTCATATAAAGAAATATTTAAGTCTTCAGAATTTTTGGAATTTTTTGAAATTTGGAACCATGAAATAAGATTTTCTAACTCAATTTCTTCTTCATTAGTAAGATCAATAGTTTCTAAATTTGCATCTTCATTAGTTTCCATAGAAGGAAGAATACCTGTTTTATGCCAAGAATGGATAATTGTATCTTTGAAAACTTTATTCCAAGCTTGTGCAACAAATTGAATCGCATCATAAATTGTTACAGGATCTGGAGGTTGATTAGTAAGATTTGATTCATCAAAAGCAGCAATTCAATTTTGTAACAATAATTTGCGATAGTGACACTATAAGTATCTCATTTATAGATTTGTAGTATTAATTACTATATGTGTATTTAAAAACAATATAAAGAGTAAAATATATACATGCTAACCTTAAATGAGTAAATTATACCAGCATCGCATGGTTGTAACCATGTAGTAGTACGTTCTGGCAAAAAAACTACTTTAACATTACGTAAGTTTAAACCTTTAATAGAATGTGCTAAGCAATTATCTAAAAGTAAAAAAATCTTTCGATGAGCATAGCGCATACGTTGATCTAGATCAGATAACCAATTTTGAAAAATTGAAGTTTGCATCCATGCTTTTTTGTTCCAATAATATTGAACAGGCAATAATGATTTTTTTATTCCTCTTATTGCATGCGGATTCTCAAATTTATGAATAAAAAGTGGTAATAATTTATCACCAACTGTATTGCATGTTAACATTACAGTAATATGATTTTTTGGTTTTTTAATTCCTGAAATATGGCCATAAGTAAGTAATTTTGAAGGCTCTAAAAACCAATAAAGTGCTGTTTTATCACAATTATAGATATCTATTGGATTATAATTTGATGTTTCATTTTGTAAAGATAGACAAAATTCAGATAATCTTTCAATTGGAGCACTAGTGGCTTCACCACAATGTGATGTATAAACTATATGATGTCATTTTTTAAAACCTTATAACCAACCATCAGATGCAGCAAAATTTTGAATATTTAAAGCTGCTGCTATCTGTTTGGCCTTTTCTTGTAAAATTAATCCTGTAATTGTTAAATGGTTTTCTAATGCAAGGTCAAACCACCTTGTAAGAATTTCTTCTAATTGTGAGTGATCAGGTAACTGATTTCGTTTTTGTTGTGCTACAGTACTTTCTTCATCTAAACCAAGCCAATATAATGATTGTGCAAGAATATCAGCTACGGTTGATCGACCAATTACAAATTTATTTGCCAATTCTTGTTAAGTAAAGTTAGGATTATTTTTTGCAAATTGACATAATGTTTTTTTTTGTTTGCCATCTAATATATTTCGGGATTTTTTAGATACTACATTATCTTTTTCTTTAGATTTGCCTTTATGCTTAGTGGAAATAATTTCATTATCATTATCTGACATATTTTGCTAATACTGATATATTATTAAAAAAATTTGATATTTAAACTTTCAACTTATTATATTTATATTAATCAATAATTCTTTTTTCAAAACAATCAAGTTTTATATACAATCATATGCATTTACAGGTAAAATGTATTAAAAAATAATTCTAAAATTCAGCTCAAGTATTTAATCAAACAAATCTATAAATTAATTATTCAAAAGCATATTGAATCAATATATATAAATGACTTGTAAATTACTTATCAATATCCTATTATAGCAATTGATTAAGTATATTGTAACTAAGTAAATACAATATGAGGTAATTATCTCATGGTAATTGCATAAGTATGAAGTAATTATCTTGTAGTATATTAGTAATTAAGTATACATAATAGTTAATATACTTATAATAAAAAAAAAGAATCTTTGTCGATGCTCTAAAAACTGCATAATTACAAAAAGGCAATACCCAGTTTATATTTATGTATAAAATAAAAGACAAACAAATTCAAGTTTTATTCAAGTTTTTAAATACACTTATACAAATCAGTATAGACAATCATAATATGTATTAAATTAATTCAGTACTTAATTATTCTAAAGAAGAATCAATTTTTAATCGTTATAACTAATAAAGATTGTAGTAACAGAAGTTTTTTTTTAAACAGTTATGTAGTTGTATTATTAGATACTTGAAGTTATATTAATTAATTATTTTATAGTAATATAATTATTTTCTGACAGATACTAACTGTAAGCACAATAGTTAAGTGATTCTTAGTCGTATAAAACCAACTCAATTTTAATTGGCTTATCTATAATGACTGTCAGTTTATAAAATCATGTTACTATAAACAGTGACAAAAATTAGTAAAAAAAATTTTTTAGTATTGAATTGTCGGTATAACAGTATAGTTAAGGTTTTTTAAGTTTGTCGATATAACCAAAGATTTATAATAGTAATAGATTTTTTTTAAAAAAAAATGTCGATATAACCAACTGTCGGTTAATTCAGCTGTCAGTATAACCAGAGTGACGTGTATTTGCTTATACAGTATAGCAGTTGCGTTTGTTTAGCTCATGCAGCTTACTATTAGTGCTAATGATAAAAATTGGTTGAATGATTTTTCAGCCTTGTAATTTTGGCACAATCTATATGTATAATAAAAACTACTTTTGTTTCATAATGACTGTTTTACAGACAGTTGTAACAATGTCTGTTAAAAGATCCTGTATATAAATAGATATTACTTTTATTGTATATACAAGTTGGTTCATAACCCTTCAAAGTGTTTTAACATCTAACCAAAGTAGTTCATTTTTTTTCAATAAAGCTTTAAAATATTTATATTATTCATATTCAATGAACGTGGTTCTGAAAGTGATAGAAGCTTTTCAATGCATTCATATTTTTGAATGTTTTTAAGAATCTGACTTATAAATGATATGCTAAACCTAAGTGTTTGGTAATTTTTCAAAATGATAAGCCTTCTAAACTTTTTTTTTTTAATATTTCTGTATTCTAAAGTAAAAGAGGGTATTATGACGCACTTACAATATCTCGGGATCCAGTGATCAGAATTAAATGATATTACCACCATTCAATTTGACTCGATGAGACTAACAGAATGATGGTAAAAAATCATTTGATTCTGATTATAGATGCTGGTGAAATATGGTGAAATGTGGTGAAATAATTTCACCACTATTGGTGAAATTTATAGTGAATTGGTGAAATTGGTGAAAATAATTTCACCAGCATCTATAATTCTGATCATTGGATCTTGAGATATCGCGAGTGCATCATAATTGGTGGTTTGATTTTTTATCAGATTTGACAGGTTATTAGTTTTGACTGGGTCAACTATATAGCAATAGATTTTAATATATTTAAAAATAAAATGACCAAATGACCAATGACCAATGACCAATTCATTTGGTCATTTGGTCATTGGTCATTTGAAGTGCCAACACTTGTCTCGGTTAAATTAACAACACTGGATACAGTATGTACGTATTATTGGGGTGTTAAATCAACTAAGTAATCAAAACTATGTCAGGGGTCTATAGAATTCGATATATTGCAGATTTTTCATGTTACACAATGATCGGTTTTCGATTATTTATTTAATATACAGAAAAATTATATTATAACATATTTGATATACAGTAAAGTTATATTATATAACGTATTTGATATACAGGATAGTTATTAAAGAACTATTGTCCAAATAAATTTTTGAACAACTCAATTGCTCTTTTTTCGCACTCATCATCATTGTTGTTGAGGAATTCCTGACTTGCATTTGACTTAGATTCCAATTGCTGATGCCTTTTTGCTCTAAATTCTGCCAATTCTAAATAATTACACCCGATTTCACTAAGCGGCATACTTGATAATCGTAACTTTGATTGCTGAAGGCTGCTACTCATATTCGGATGAGTTTTGAGATCCCATTTATTGAAAAGACCCTCAACCTGTTGCTGGTGAATTACAATATACCAGATTCGATGTTTGACAAATTCAAATACTTTAGGAAATTGGTTTAAAGGTTTCTGCTTTTCCTGGATAAATTGGTGAAATTCATAGTTAAATATAGGATCACGCAATGCAGCTGATAGACCGAAGTCATTAAATTCATCACATTTAACATCAATCTCAATAAATTTCGTGTAGCATAATTCTCGCAAAGAAGGTACTGATGACCAAGGTGTTCCTAAAACTATATGAGAAAAGCTTCGTGCAAATTCTCGCCCATATTTTCCGCCTAAACTACAAACACTTAATGGTAAGTGCAACCAACAATCTAACCATTTTTGGTGGAGTTCTAACGCTTTTTGTGAACCACGTTCAAGATCTGAAACAAGTTTATTTAGTTGATCATTTCCTAATAAATCAATGCTTTCTAACAATTCTTCTTCAAAAAATAAGTATGGATTTTCGACAATATTCTTGAGTTTCATTGTTGTACGAACTATAAAATCTGGCATTTGGTGGGCACGTCGCCCGGGAGGTAGATTGGTCGGCACAGAATTTTGATTGAAAAATTTTAATTCCGGATCATATCCTGTAATAAATTTGACCATTGGTTGATAAAATTCTTTTCCAAAGCGGACTAATAACTTAATTTGAATGTTTAAAAGTGGGTTATGAAGCCAATGATTAAATAATTCCCATTTCTTAATATATGATTTTGGTGTATTGCTTCGAGCTTTAAGACAGGATAAAAACCACTTTGTAAATCGGATATGAATATGTCTTCGTTCTAAGTATTGCTCAGCACACATAAATTCATAAAGCCACCGTGACCGAATAGGTCGTTGGTATTTAGTTAGCTTATAGTTGAATCGCTCCATATAAAGTTGACGAATATAATCTGATCATACTCCCATCGGTTTATCTTTATCATTTTTATCATAACCGTCGTGAAGATCCCAAGTCAAATACAAAAGGTTAGCAG